TCCAACTCTGGTTCCAGCTCCAACTCTGGTTCCAGCTCGGGCTCTAGCTCCAACTCGGGCTCTGGCTCTGGCTCTAACTCTGGCTCTTCCTCCGGTTCCAACTCGGGCTCCTCGTCCGGTGCCGTCTCTGGCTCGAGCTCCGGCAGCTCTTCGAACGCTGGTGCGTCTTCGTCTGCTGGTGCCAACGCCGGCTCTTCGTCGTCTGGCTCTTCGGACGCCAACGCTGGCGACGATGACTGCGACGAGGATGATGACGCTGACACTACTGCCGACGACGATTGCGACGAAGACGAGACGTCTGGCTCTGGTTCGGATGAGGCCGACGAGGACTGCGACGATGAAGACAGCGGCAGCTCGTCCAATGCAGCTGCTGCGGCCGCCGCTTCGTCTTCGTCTTCGGCTTCGTCGTCGTCCAACTCTGGCAGTGACAGCAGCAGCAACAACCAGCAGCAGCCCAAGGCGGCATCTGCGACCTCGTCGAGCTCTGCTGCGCCCACTGCCACTCCTCAAGCTCAGCACGACCAGAACAGCAACAAGGCCAGCTCGTCGTCGTCGGCTCCTGCCTCTTCGACGTCTGCGTCGGGTGCCGTGGCCTCTGCGGCTGCATCTGCTTCGTCGTCGGCCAGCAGCCTCGCCAACGCTGTCAGCGGTGGGTTTGCGACCTTCTTCTACCAGAACGGAAACGCGGGCGCTTGTGGCAACCGCAACTCGGACTCGTCGGCTGTTGCGGCGCTGCAGTCGCAGACGTACGCTGGTGGTGCTCACTGCGGTAAGCAGATCAAGATCTTCCGCGCCGACAACCCCAGCAGGTCGGTGCTCGTCACCGTGGCCGACGAGTGCCCCAGCTGCGTGAACAGCGAGTCGATCGATCTCTCGGTCGGTGCCTTCACCCAAATTGCCTCCGAGTCCGAGGGCATGGTCGGCATCAAGTGGGAGTGGGCCTAAGCGCCCTAAGCGCTCTGAAAATTGATACGTGGCTGCCATACTCGCTGCGTTGATTTCCACAACCCCAACCTTTGTTTCGTTTCATTACGTGCGGACCAGGTGTTCGTCACGTCCGGGCTCCCTTGCCATCTGGATCCTTTCGTCTAGGCCCTTCTGTGTATTGCTGCAGATCACACGGACGCCAGTCGGAGCGTGCATGTTGTGTCTCTCGACTCGAGCTGGTCTCGATGCCGGGGATGCACTGACGCTGCGACTGCTCGTCGAGATGGATCGCCGCGTTCGCAGTCAATCGGGCCTGGCCAAAGCCAGAAGTTCTCCCCTATTCTCTTGTTTCATCTTCTGTCCTTTTCGTCACGATCACGTCCGACGGCGGCTCTGCTGTGCGGAGCTTTCTGTCTGGCTCTTGTAGTTGCGGCCTTATTTTCTGCACCTGCCTTGCCATGGATCCGCAAAAGCGAAACGGAAAGTGCTGGCTGCCTTGTCACATCGGAAATGGATTCACCCTTCTCCCTCTTGCCCTGATGGCCGCATAGCTCTGCGCGTATGACGATGACGAACCCTTGAGATTGATGGAGAGAAGCAAGTGCGGGACCCTGGGTGGCAGCGGCGAAAAATTGTTAGGCCACGATTGAGCCAACCAACACTCGCCTCGCTGGCTTGGCTGGCTGGACTGCGCTGGCTGGCGTGTGAGAAGGCAGGAAGCCAAGAGGGCCGGCGCGTGCATTTTGCAACTCCGGCTCGTCACGCTGCTGCGATGGAATTTTGTGATTTTGGCAAGGAGAGAGCTCAAGCCACGCGCAGGGGGGCAGCAGCACGCGCGCGTTGCTGAGATGAATGCGCGAGAGAGAGGCGTTGAGCAGAGAGAAGTGCGTGTGTGCGTGTGTGTGTGGGTTTGGCAGCCCGCTCGGGGCAGCGCGAAGAGGGAGGTGTTGCTGTGCTGGAGCCGTGGATTGTTGCTGGGGCCGCCAGAGAGACGCACAACTCACCCGTGGGCCCCGGCTTGGAAGGTGGCGACAAAGTCCGTCGTCGTCTTAGCTCGGTCCATCCCACAACCATTTCTTGATCCTCCGCACCGTCTTCCGTCTTCTAGCCTGTCTCTTCGCTTCGCCAAAAGCGGCCAACGACGCGTTCATACCCCGTTGCTGCAACCTCCGTCGTCGCACGGTGTGATCGTCGACCAATCATTCGATTCCACAGTTGTCGCTTTCTGCCAGCCATCTCATCCTCGCTATTGAACGTACAGTGATACCGCTCAGCATATCCCTCCTGACTCCGACCGGCCAACTGCATAACCAGGTGGCTACATAACCTCTCTGCATCACTTCGTCGATTGTCAACTTGATTTCACCGACAATCGTTGAAAGCTCCAACTTCAAGGCATCCATCTTACCGCCAGCCCGATCTAGACATCGATCAGCAATTGCGATTCCTGACGTCTCAGCTCGACTCGCAGCCGCTTCGTCCAGCCTTGAGCGAGCCCCGCCTCTCATCCGCATCTTGGAGCGTCGCCTCCAATCTGCGCATCCCTCTTCGCTGTCGCCCCTCGCGCACCTTTCGCAGAGTCGTCCACCATGCTCTCATCCGGTGCCGGCTCGTCGATACGCAAGAAGCGCAACTTCAAGGGTCTCCAGCTCGCCGAATCGCCGCTGGCGAGTCCTGCGGGCGCAGCCTCGACTCCGAACAATGGCGAAAGCTCCGCCGCCTCGAATGCGTCGACGATCGGCAAGTCGGCCACCGTGACGCCCGGCGGCTCGCTCGCGCTTCCAGGGCGAAACGGCGCCGAGGCGGAACCCAACTCGGGCGCCAACTACCACAATAAGCTCACGCAACAACTCGCCAACCTCGAGCTCGGCGTCGAGTACAAGCTGGACCTCAAGAACGAGGACCTCAAGACGGTGTCGGAGCTGGGCGCTGGCAACGGCGGCACCGTGACCAAGGTGCTGCACGAGAAGAGCGGCACGGTGATGGCCAAGAAGGTGGTCTTCATCGATGCCAAGCCGAGCGTGCGCAAGCAGATCCTGCGCGAGCTGCAGATCCTGCACGAGTGCAACTCGCCGTACATTGTGTCGTTCTACGGCGCGTATCTGAGCGAGCCGCACATCTGCATGTGCATGGAGTTCATGGACAAGGATTCGCTCGATGGCATCTACAAGAAGCACGGACCCATCCCGCCGGAGATCTGCGGCAAGATCGCGGTGGTGGTGGTGCACGGCCTGACGTATCTGTACGATGTGCATCGCATCATCCACCGCGACGTCAAGCCGAGCAACATCCTGGTCAACGGCAAGGGCCAGATCAAGATCTGCGACTTTGGGGTGAGCGGCGAGCTGATCAACAGCATCGCCGACACGTTTGTGGGCACCAGCACCTACATGTCGCCCGAGCGCATCCAGGGCGACCAGTACAGCGTCAAGTCGGACGTGTGGAGTCTGGGCGTGTCGGTGATCGAGGTGGCGCTGGGCCACTTTCCGTTTGCCAACAACGACGACGAGTCGGACTCGGGCTCGGACTCGGATGCGGATCTGGAGCGCGCCAATGCGCTGGTGCAGGAAGATCTGGGCGGGACGCTGTCGCCGACCAAGCCTGCGCCGAAACTGCCTGTGGCGGCGGCAGCAGCAGCAGCGCAGAAGCAGAGTCGTCGCAAGTCCAAGGCGGCCGGGGTGAGCTTGGAGGGCTCGAGCCACCAGATGTCCATCCTGGACCTGCTGCAGCACATTGTCAACGAGCCACCGCCCAAGCTGCCCGAGGGACGCTTTCCCAAGCTCATGGAGGAGTTCGTCCAGCTGTGCCTGGTCAAGGACCCCGCGAGGCGCCCGACGCCCAAGGACCTCACAAAACACGCCTACGTCATGGAGGCCGACGCGGCCAAGGTGGATCTGCAGGCGTGGGTGGACGGGATGAAGTAGGCCGGGCGGAAGCTAGGCATGGTCTTTCCTGCATCTGTTCATGGGTCCTGTTTGTTGCAATAGCAGGTGTGGCTGCCAGTTGGTTGTGAGCGGCTGCGAATGTCGAACTGTGCTGCAAGCTGAGTGCGGGGATTGGGCGGCGGAAAGCACGTCATGCGCCTCCACATTCGGACTTAGGCCGTGGGCGTGTCCGTGCGTCTTTGCCGAAGCTGTTGAGCGGGTGTGCAGGTATAAAGCAATGCCTGCCGGTTGCGAGTTGGCCGTTGCGCACTCGACATCATCTCCAATATGGTTGAGCACAGTGTTTCTGTGCATGCAGGGCAAGACGGCCAGTTTCGTCGGCAGGTATCTGCGTTTCGGAATACGATTTCGCCCGACGGCCCGCACGAGCCGGAACGCGGGAGGTACATTCTATACTGCGCGTTGATCTGTCCATGGGCATGTCGCACGCTGCACACACGGGCACTCAAGCAGCTGGAGGATATCATCGACGTAGCGATCGTGCATTACGAGTTGACGCCGAACGGATGGAGTTTTGCACGGGTCGATGAGGTGGAAACGGGCGATCCAGTGCATGGATTCGAAAACACCAAGCAGCTCTACCTCAAAGCCGATCCGGAGTATACGGCTCGATACACGGTGCCTATTCTGTGGGACAAGAAGCTGGGGACGATTGTGAACAACGAGTCGTCGGAGATCATTCGTATCCTCTATACGGCTTTCGACGATCTGCTGCCTGCAAACAGCCCTGCGAGGGGCAAGACGTACTATCCAGCCGAAGCTTCAGGGAAGATTGACGAACTCAACGAATGGATCTACCGCGACCTCAACAACGGCGTATACAAGACCGGGTTTGCAACGACGCAGGAGGTGTACGATCGAGAGGTGGATACCGTCTTCAAGGCCCTCGAGCGGCTAGAAAAGGTGCTGGAGGATGGAAGGCGGTATCTGGTGCCCGAGATTGGATTGAGCGATGCGGACATTCGACTGTATCCGACGCTGGTGCGGTTTGATGTGGCGTACCATACGCTGTTTCGGTGCAATACGGGCATGATTCGTCACGACTATCCGCAGGTGCATCGCTACTTGAGGCAGCTCTACTGGGGCGAAAGCGCGTTTCGAGACTACACCAACTTTACCCATATCAAGCGCGGCTATGCGGGTGTGGGCGCCAACAAGGGCATCGAACCCCGGGGTCCTCTTCCGCACATACTGCCGCTGGATGCCTAACCACACACCCTGCTTGCCATCTTGACAATGTATCGCTCAGTTGTGTCTTGCTGCTTTTCATCAGACGCCACAGCGGGAATGTCTCAGGTGCTATGCTGCATGTACCGCGAACGGCATTATGTGAAGGGTTGCGGGCGGGGCATTGGGAGGCAATGATTGCGGGGTTTGTGTTGAATGTGCCAGCGAACCAAGGCAATGGGATGCGGCTTTTTGCCAACGCAAGGAGGAGGCTCTTTGCGCCTCTACGACACAACGGTCGCGTGGCATTCTCACGGCCCTGACTGGCAGTCGATTTCTGGCGGCAGAGAGACGCGCGCGCGCGCTGGCCGGCCAGCTCAGGAACGCTGGCCTGTTTCGAGGTTCATGCATGTGGTTGTCACCGCCTGGCTAGCTTGGGACCGCCCATGGAAGCCTCCCTCCCCTTTGCCCCACGGCCAAAGTTGCTGTCAATGCTCACTCACTCTCTCGCTCAGCGCGGACCCCGGCGAATGGGGGTCCAAGGCCCTGGCCTCGCTACCGGTAGAGTAAGGCTGTGCAGCCAGCAAAGCTTTTTGGATGACAGTTTCGAGGGTCCATCCCAGCGCTTAATTCTGAGCGACGCATACATTTGGAAGCAAGCACAAACCTGGTCTGGAAGAAGATTCGGTCAGCCGAAGGGGGCCGGGACAGAGAGTGCAAGGGCCGTCGACGCGATGCTGCCATACAAAGCTGAGCTGGAGCAAAGGCGGTGTCGTCGTTGGTGCGGCTCGGGCGACGACGCCTGAAATTTATTTAGCCTTTTGTTGAAAAAATCATGGTGGTGTTAAATACAGTAGTCGACGCGCACTGGATGGGTGGCCCTGACGGCGCGCGTTCCTCTCTCGC